CTGTTGTAAAGGAGGTGGGCACTCACCTCCCGCAAGTGCCCCCCATTCGGTCAAATGCAGGTTCTTGCATTGCCTCAGTCTTAAATGTCTTGTAGCTACTCAGCCTCCAGGCCGTATGAAACAGGCTTGGGTGCATTCACAGCCCCCTTCTGGGGTACACCTCTTGCAGAGGTCCATCCCAGTATACGCTGCAGAGTGTCTGAGTCCAATCCAGTCTCAATCTGTTTCCCCTCGGTCTCTTTCCCCACTCAGTTGGAAGTAATGCCTCCAGGGTTTCTCCTCCTGGAGACCAGTGTCCTGAACAGCTCCGGACTGGGAGCTGCCTCTGGTTCTGCTACCCAGCCCCCTTGACCTTCTCCTTTCCAGGTCTGGGCTGCAACTGAGTTGCCTCTGTTTCTGCAGCTCTTTTTGTAATCCTCTCTGGCCCCTGATTGGCAGGTTTCTCCAAAGACTCTCTATCCTCCTGTAGGACTTCTCTATGGCCTTAGGGCCTAGCCCTATTATATCTGTACACAAAGAAAAGTTAACCTGGAGTAACTGAAACACAACATGTTTTCCTCTGAAGCCATTTTTATAATCACTGTTTCAAGTCAATCAGCATCTTCCCTCTTATGGCCACTTCATCAAACTATATCTTTTGCCTCAGCTTTAGTTATCTATTTAGGATTGCCAACCCTCCAGGATTGTCCTGGAGTCTAGGAATTAAAGATCAATCTTTAATGAAACATTGTCATGTGATGAAACCTCTAGGAATGTGTCTAGCCAAAACTGGCAACCTTGATCTTTTCTCACCATTTCCTCCTTTGGCCATCTAAAGCAAGAATTCCTGGACAACTTACCAAACTTGGTTAATTCAAATATACATCTTTCTTTTATCATATACCAGTTTATATGCCAATCAGCAGTTAATGTCAATATATGTTTTGCCTTTACAACACCAGCAGATCAATCCCTGCTGACATTGAGTCCAAGAGCTTTAAATGAACTTTTTCCCTATAATGTGCAATTATTACAATCCATGCTCCCCAAAAGATTCAGGGGTAGGTGATCCAAAATCTTTTCACGCCATCTAAACTGAACAACCACTAATTCATACAGACGCTTCTATCCTAACACATTGAAGATCTGCCTTTACAGTTCCAGATGCAGATAAATATTTATGCCAATTATCTTTTAAAAGACAAAATGTGAGCAAAGAGCAAACAAGGAAATGATCCATAATATCACCCTCCCATTTTTTCAGCTCTTCATAATGAATTAAGCCTCTTTTTTTAACCAAACTAAGCATGATGGTGAGAGTGATTAGGTTATACTAATGTTTCCCTCTTTCTGTGACACTTTTCCTCTAGTCTTGTGTTCACTATTTAAATAGCCCCTAATCCCAAAACTATTGTCCCACAACATTTAGGTGTGTAATTTTTGTTATTAAAACAAGTGCCAGATACTGAATTCCAGTGTAACTCAACACTGGATAGGTTGGTCAAAAATATTTGCTTCCTCAAAGGAAATTCTGATAAAAGGCTCTGCGATGATTCCTCTGACATACGCCCATAGATAGCTGGAAATGGATTTTTCCTGTTTTATTTAGTACTACTGCTTGATCCTTGTAAGGCAAATACTAATTCATGCAAAGTTAACATGTTGTTTCAGTAAACTAAAAGCCACCAACATGAGACCAGAACTAGCATTGCATGCCCAACTAAATAGTAAAAGCATATCTGCAAGACAGGACAACATGTATGATAATAATCAATATAGTATAGTTATGATGTTGAGTCCAAAAAAAACATTAACAAAGACACCTTACAATGTAAAACTTTTTAGCCTTTGGAAAGCTTAACTAAAGTTAATGGACAGATTTTTTTTTTTAAAGGAATGAGGAAAACCATCAATATTTTAAAAATATATTAAATACTTTGAATTTATACAGTTCTCTTTAATGCAGTATTTCTCAAAGTGATCCATGGACTCACTGAGTATGTCTAGACTACATGGCTCCGTCGACAAAGCCGTGTAGATGAGTTCAGTAGACATAGGAAAATGAAGCAGTGATTTAAATAATCGCCGCTTCGTTTACATCAAAATGGCTGGGGCGCTGTGCCGATCAGACTGGACGCTCCGCGGTCAACAACGGACGCCTTTGTCGACTGCTCCGCTATGCCTCATGGAATGAGGCTTACTGGAGCAGTCGACAAAGGCTTCCGTTGTTGACCGTGGAGCGTCCAGACTGCCCCGCTGTGCCGCCAAACAGCTGATCGGCACAGCGCAGCAGCCATTTTGATGTAAACGAAGCGGCGATTATTTAAATCACTGCTTCATTTTCCTATGTCTACTGAACTCATCTACACGGCTTTGTCGACGGAGCCATGTAGTCTAGACATAGCCACTCTGAGAACTGCTACCAGGCCACTCCAGTTTACTTACCAGCTCTGCAGCCATGGAGCCTTGCAGCTCCCATTGGCTGTAGTTCACTGTCTGCAGCCAAAGGAAGTCATGGGAAGCAGCAGCCCGTGTCACATGACCTGCAGAATGACATGGTTCTAGCTCTACCCCATTGTTAGTTTATTCTATAGTTGCCCATGTTAATTGCAAAGTTGATTCTGTGCCTCTGTAAAGGCAACCAGAAACAGGGACAGAACCCCCCCTCCATGTGTTCTTACTAGGAGTGCTGTTAGGTAAAAAAAGAGGAAACTGGAACTACCTGTAGAAGGAGCTATTGACCAGGAGTAAAGGGGAGAAGAGACAAAGACAACCATACAGTTAAGTCCGAGGGAGCTATAAAATGCAAGATGGACAGTAAGAGAGGCACAGGAATGAGGTAGCAGAGAAACATATTCACAGAAGGAGGTAGAGGAGGACTGAAGGATTAGCAGGAGAGATGGAATAAAAAACAAAGATAGAGCATTGGGATTACTTTTTTTTTCCTCCAAGGACAAAATATTTGTCACCTGAAAGATAGATAACAGTGTCCACTTCCACTTTTCCATATGAGCAAGTATTGTAGTCGCTCTGAGAAGGCTGCATGACTACAAAAAGGATGTATGCGATCCATATCACAAAGGAGACAATCTCTGGTGAAATGCGATCTTCATTTTGGAAAAGTTTAACAGTCTCTAATATATACCACACTACTATACCAGTCTAGTGAAAAACTGAGGATCTTGATGCTGCACTGATCTAAAACACATGAGAGGAGATACTGATATTCTAAAACAAGGAGACAAGTGTAAGATGAAAGCATAAAAAAAGAGAGTCGACCCTGTAGCAACACAGCATCTCAGTTATGGAGGGTGCAGTGTATGTAACCACTCGCTGTTTTAAATCACTTTGTAAGAACATCATTTAAGTCACTCTAGCAATTTCCTCCAATTCCTACACTGCAAACAAATGCATTATTAGCGAGCTTAAATTCAAAGAAGGACAAATATGGCCAAAGGGAACATACATAAAAGTTTGAACAAATATTTGCGCATTTTTTATTCACACCGCTCTAATAAATAATGTAAAGCACTCAGAGTACATCTGTGTTTTTAATCTTCTTTACACAGTGTAATCTGTAACATGAAGATAATTTTAATTATATTTTCAGTCTAGTTTATAGTTTTATATGTGCAGTAGCTCTTTGTGGTCAAAATGCAAGAGGAATGTTTATTTTCTTTAACATAAAAAAACCTAGTATTTCTCCGCTTCCATGACTTTTATTGCAGCTCACTTATTGGACTATCCTGGTTAATGCTTTTCTTTTTTAAAGGGATGTAGGTAGGAAACACGTGTGGACAATGAGTGGCCCCAAAGATTAACCTGTGTGCCAGTTCCTACTGCTGCAGCTGGCAAACAATTATTGTGAATGAAAGAGATACTCCTGTCATTATGCTAGGGGTTTTTTCTCTTTCTTATGCTTGTTTGCATGACTCAGAATACAAACATTTTTATTAGTTATGGAACAGATTAAAATGTGGCCTCCATTTTTGCTTGTGCAGTGTGATTGAATACATGCATCAGTAGCATACATGGCCTTCTTACACTGCAGAAGGATGTCTGAAGCATAATGAGTTCTCATCAGTTAATTTTCTGATATGCTCTTTGTTTCTTCATTTATTTCATCATTTAAGCAATTAAAGTTGAAAGAAACTTGTGTGTGTGACTTACTAGACCATTGATTACAATTGCATTGTTAATGTTTGCCTGCAGATTAGCAAAGAATTTACTTGTAAAGGAGGCCAGGGTTTAGGTAAAATCTCTTGGTGAATGATGCAAACTTTATTATTTCCAGTTAAAATGAATATTTTGATAGCTAATACATCAATAAGTCATTGTTTTAAAACTAAACTTGAGCAGGGACCTAAGTCAGTTCTGTGAGCTGCATTCAGTAGGATAGACTTTCTTCAGCAGCACTGCAATGAGAGGCATGCTGCTGTGATGGCTGAAGAACAATTAAATTGTATGCGAAGTTCATTCACTGAAAGTCAAAAGTGAGGAGAAAAGAATAACTGAAGAATAACCTTCACTGCTGCTATTGACTTTACCCTAAATAATAAGGGTCAGTATAACACGGGAATCAATTACTGAAGAAATTAGTTCATACTGTCAAAGATACTTTTCCCCAGTTGTATTAACAAAGGAAATAGATTTGTTAAAATACATAACATCACTAGATCACAGATTCAGCACTGTAAAGACACAAGTTAGATCAGTGTAAATCAAGTGTCGATGCTACTGACTTTTGCCCCCATAGGGACTCCATTAAACAAGTGTAAGCATGGTAAGAATCAGGCTCTGGATGTATAACAAGAGGATTATCTGGCTCAGAATTGGTAATGAGACAAAATCAGTTGTAGGCCATTCTGACGGGGGGGTGTACCAACCCCGCACTGACCTGTGAGGGGTTAACCAGGCCTGCTGGGCTGAGCAGGCCCCGCCCCTCCATGGATCTGCTGGGCATGCTCCAACTGCAGACCCAGTATAAAGGCCAGAGGAGCAGCTCAGTTGGGGCTGACCAGGAGAGGGGAAGGAGCTCTTGCCAGAACACAGGAGCAACTGCCCCTGCTGGCCGGGCCTGGCTGCCGTGCCAGCTGCAGCCATCACCCCGGCTGCCACCCCAGCCACAGCTGCCATGCCAACTGCAGCCACCAAATCAACCACAGCCACCACTGCAGCATCTGCCAGCAGAGGTGGAGACTACGCTTGCCGGGGGAATAGGGTATGAAGCAGCTCAGGGAGGAAAGTAGGCGGCTTCCTAGTGGACTCAGCATGCTTCGGGAGAATTCCCCTTGAGCCAGTGGTGGGAAACACCTACCTCTAACAGGGCCCTGGGCTGGGGCCCAGTGGAGAGGGAGGGCCTGGGCCCCTCTTCCCCCACCTCCCTGGCTCCCTAGAGCAGGGAGCCAATTTAATGTGCTATAGACTCAGCTGCTGAGCCTTATTTACCCCACAGATGGGGTGAGAGAGACTAGGCCACTGGGCCATACTTCCCTGCTGATGTGGGAGGAGAGGGGGTGCCATAGATCTGGCCACTGGGCAGCACTACCTCACTGACTGGGATGTGGCGGATTCCCCCACCTCCCTGGCTCCCTAGAGCAGGGAGCCAATTTAATGTGCTATAGACTCAGCTGCTGAGCCTTATTTACCCCACAGATGGGGTGAGAGAGACTAGGCCACTGGGCCATACTTCCCTGCTGATGTGGGAGGAGAGGGGGTGCCATAGATCTGGCCACTGGGCAGCACTACCTCACTGACTGGGATGTGGCGGACTAGGCCCCGAGCCATAATGCCAAGCCTTGAGGGACTTCAGCCACCGCTAGATTATGGGGTGAGCTGCCTTGCCTGGTTCTCTTGACAGCCACTGATTCAAATCTAGGCCATTGCTAACTTCCCTATGGCAGTAAGTTAGAGGTCAATTAAGGACAGGCAAAGTCATTTTGTCTAATTTCAGACATGCTTAAAATACTATAGCTTAAATATTAGAAAATAAGAACCCACTTCTGCCTTTTGTTATGTTGCTTTATACTTTAGCAGCACAAAGCAGAATTGGTCCTTGGAGGATAGCTGTGGGGCTAGGAGGTTCTCATAGTGTTATGCTGTTAGAAAGAATCTATGCCAGCCCCTGGCATTGGGGACATATAGACCATGCCCTTTCCCTGGTGCACTGCTGCACTACTGCTATTCTCAGCTGTCAGCTCCACACAGGGATAGCTTAAAAGTAATAAAAGTAGCAGATGATTTAATGCCATCTTTGTTCTCTCAGTGCTCACTGTACCCTGACTCATAAACCACACAAAGACTCAGGCTTAGTGTTTTGATGTTTGGGAGAGACTTGAAAAAAGGAGTGGAAAAAGTAAACAAAATACACACCCAAAGAGTGTGTGTGTGGGAGGGGGAAGATTGTGGAAGAAATACTAATGGGAAAAGGTGAACACCTATAGTTCACCCACTTGTGCTGGCCTAGATTATTTTATTATTTGAATGGCTATTCATCTGTTTCCCAAATAAATGGGATTTGTGTTTTACACATGAGAAAGTAAAACCTGTGAAAGTGAGCAGGACATTTAAAAGGGGACCCACAGACCTAATGAATGTGTTTTGTTACTGCTAGAGACTCCAGAAGAGGGTATATGGATATGGGAGTGACTAAAAGTAAGTGAAGACAGAAAAATGGCAACAAACATTGTGGCACTAACAAGATATATGTAAATTGTACCCTTCAGATCACTCTGTTATATATTGCATCTCATCCCCACATCTTTATGTATTTTGTCTTTTAAAACCTTGATCCTGAAAGTTATACTGGTACAAGCAGACCCTGGTTCCTGCACACAGCACCAAGACAGTGGAGTTCCTCACAGGAGCATGATTGACAGACTCTGGGACTTGGAATGAGACATGGTTCATGCCCAAAGGTATTAAAAACTGTCTCTAGTACCACATTTTAGGACAGAGTATAATTATTCTGTTGTACTACAATCTGCAGTGGCCAACACAAAATCATGATTCCAAAACTCCTCAAACTTTGGGTGGGAGGTTCAAAATTCAGATATTAATTTTGTAGTTTATCAGTGGTATGATTAAAATGCTGCCCAAACTTTGAACTAGCAAACACCAATATTATAAATGATTTTGAGTGCCCATGAAAATGAGGTTGGTGGGAGTTATTTACAGTTCACTGAGTTGCAAAACATCTGGTTATACAACATTTGTCAATTTGTGACATGATGCAGCAGCAGATGGTAGATACAAACCCAGCTTAATGTGAAATAATCATATTATGCTAACATTTGCAATCCATACCATTTACAAATGTGATAATCCAATGACAAAGCAAAAGCTCCATGAAAAAGTAAGTAGTAAGACCCCAAATTGGCAAACACAGTTGCACATGTTTAACTTCAGTCAGTCCCATTGGACATAAATTCCATTATTTGCAAAGTGATCCATGTAGGCAAAGTGAGCCTCACTTTGCCTAATGAGGACAAAGTGTTGTAAGATCAAGGCTTAAGTGTATTCTATTTTCTAAAAGATTAAATATCCTAGTCATAGAAGAACTCTGACAGTCTACAACTCTACATTTACAAAAGTAAACAAAATTTAAAGTGTAAAGTTAGTTTTATGTATATGTTTAGATTTTTAAGAATGTGCCCACACACTGCTCTGGATACATATATCTCAACAACAAAGCTTACAAATAAAGCAATTACAAATTGAGATGAGCAAATATGACCAACCTGCACTGAACTAATCTATCCTCTAGTTCACCATCATCCTCAGAAAACAGAAGCCCCACAGCATGCTCTCAATGGACCTCAATAATTGGACAGCTTTCCAGTGACCTGAAGGATTATGCATCAAGTCAAGACTGTAGATTTACTGAATCAATGAAGAAAGTAAATTAATTGTTAAATATTCCAGTAACCAAGAATAATCATCTAATCACAAAACACTCAAACAGTTCAAAAGCCTCTAATAATAATTTATTATAAAAAATAACAAGATCCATTAGAAGATGTCTGTGGACTGAAAAATAAAATGTAAGTTCTAGTATAAAACCATAAATGTTAAAGAATCATTTTCATCCTGCACCATTCTTCATATTCAAAGGGACTTCACTAGGATTTTCTCTTCCTGAAGAACACTCACTAGGTGGCCTTAACTGAAAACGCTTTTTAAAGATGATTAAAAAAATGAACACCCTTAGCGTATGTCTACACTACCACCCTAGTTCAAACTAGGGTGGTAATGTAGGCAACCAGAGTTGCAAATGAAGCCTGGGATTGGAATTTCCCGGGCTTCGTTTGCATAAAGCCGGGCGCCGCCATTTTTAAATGTCTACTAGTGCGGACTCCGTGCCGCGCGGCTACACGCGGCACGGACTAGGTAGTTCGGACTAGGCTTCCTAGTCCGAACTACTGTTACTCCTCATTCCTCCTCTTAAAATCAGGAATAAGGGATCTTCCGGAAAAGGCTTTATTTTCCGAAAGATCCCGTCTAGAGTGGCGCTTTTCTCCGGCAAAAAAAAAAAAAGCGGCAGCCATGTTCATGCAAATGCCGCGGAGGAAATTTAAATCCCCCGTGTCATTTGCAATTCCGAAGTGTCTCATTAGCATCCCTTTTCCGGAAAAGGGTGCCAATGTAGACACAGCCTTTCTGTTTAAGTTGTTTCTTTCAATGTGCTTGTTTTACTACACTACTATTATTCATCTTTGAAATGCCTTTGGTTTTCAGTTTCAATGGCTTTACAAAGTCAATAGTTTATTATTTTCATGATTTCTCAAACTTTAAAATGAGATGTAAGCATGCTAAGACCTTACAAAGCATGTATAAAATTTGTTTAAATATACACAACCTTCTAGATTTTTGCAATGTTATTTAGATCAAGTTAATAGCTGTGATAGAGGAAAAGAGCCATAAAAAAGGTTGAGAACTATGCCTGTCACATGATCGGGTTGGGGTGGTGAGGGTAGGCTGAGAGGCTCTGGGGACTGCAGCCAATGCTGGACAAAGGAATTGCTTTGTTCATGAATTTTTATATTTGAACAATAAATTGGGCCCTAAGGCAAAACCTGAAATGGACTTAAGTGTGGAAGTGGCTCTTTCCTGAGCAGGTGAGGCAGCTACCAGTTTATATCAATCTTAAATTTCTGTCTCCTGAGGGATAGTAAAGCAACTTTCTACGCTGAAGGTGTAACACACTGAATACAAAGTATATTAGAGCAGCCAGAAGCTACTCTAATATATATGAGACTGCAGTGTCTCAGAGGTCCAAAAACACAAAATAACATTGATTTGAGACTCACTGCATCTGCAGAACTGCCAGGAATGGACTAATTGGAAGAGAATATAGTTCTAGTTGTATTACTTCCTGCTGGAATTTTCATTTGGAAATCCATGGAGTGTGGGTTGCCTTTCCTCTCTGTTGGGGTTCAGGGAGTGGATGTTACCATGAAAAGAATCACAGGGGAGATCTGCACTCAAATAGACCCTTCCACATTCAGCTGCTGAGGTGACTAGTATATTGTGCTGTAAATACAGTACAATAAAGTAAATTAAAATTGTTATGGGTAACAATGCAAATGAGCTACTTAGCTGAATGTCATCAGGGGTTTTATTTGGCTATGAATAAACATAAAGCAAAGAAAAAGTTTACTAAAATCCTCAAAATTATTCTGATTTAGACCTGATTTCTTTTCTCTGTTAAAAGACAAATTGTTAGTTTCTCCAACATTCCTCCTACAATTTGGTCCTCTGAATCCTCCCTAACGCTAATCCCATGCCACTGCATGCGCACATGTGTGCGTTCACTCTGATGCTAGTAGACTGCAGAATCAGCTGGGCTGTCACAAAGGTCTTACTTTAGTTCCTGCAGAGCAGCTCAGAACTGCAGATGTCCCAGCAAAAACCATCTGGCTCTTTGCTGAATTAATGCTTTTTTGACCCTGATATACTGTGCTTTCCAATCGTTTTCTATTTTCATTATTCCACAAACTGAGATGTAAGCATTTAAAGACCCTACAAAGCATGTTTCTTTGTTTTTACCTAAGTGGTTAGTTAGATGATTTATATTAGCTTTCACAATCCCAGTAAATTTTACATGCTGTGAGCCAGATTCTCTGCTAGTATAAATTAAGGTAGTTCAATTGACTGCAATAGTACTATGCCAATTTACAACACTGGTAAGGTTTGAAAAAATCCCTGTAAATGGTCATCAGGCCTCCTAATGTTCAGTAGGAATTTATAGTGTGGGTGTTGAATTTAACATAATCACTGTAAGTTCTGGAAATTTGCTTAGCTATATTCATGCTAAACTAATTATCTAAATTTAAGCAATGGAAATATATGGTACTACCTCCCTCCCAGACACACACAGGCACACATTCTAATTGCAGACTTAATTTGAGGGAAAATTAGACTAAATTGTCAGCATTTTTTCAGGTCCTTCTGGAGCCTCTCTGAAGTAGTCTCCTTTTCATCTGACCTCCTTCAGTAGATTATTTTTAAAGTCAGTGGAATTCTTGGCTTTGGGATAGATTCTGCGCAGTTAAGCAGATGCCATTCCCATAGAAACTTGGGACCAAATTTAAGAGTGATGTAAACGCTTGAGGCAGCATAGTTAGGGCAGTTGTTCCCAAATTTTCAAAGCCATGACCCCCTTTTAGACAACCATTATCTCAAAACACCTTCCCACGATCATCCATTCCAGATATAGACTTTCTCTGACCTAAATATTACTAAGCAAGATGACCCAATCTGCAGTTTCTGTTAAATTAGAGAAGGACCTTCACTGAAATTAGCAGGAAGTGATCACCTCTTAGTACAAGGTAAGAAGGCCTTTAAGCAGCATCCTATTCCAAGCTCAGCCTAACTTCCCAGATGAGGAAAATAAGTAGTGAGGTTACATGATAGAAGACCGTGGCCTTGTCTATACTACGAAATAAGGTTGAATTTATTGTTGATTTTTTTTTAAAGCATCTGATTTTGTAAAGTGGAAAGCACACATTTCTCCCTGTGTTCAAAAACTTGACATAGTTCGCAATAGCACGTCCCCAGTATGGTAGTTACTAGTGGCTTTGAGAGAGGTGCACTGTGAGTAGTTATCCCACAGTTCCTGCTGCCGCTTTTCACTCTGGGTTGTGCTCCCAGTGCTCGCTGAGACCAAAACTGTGTAGTGTGTGGTTCTGGGTACATGACTGCATCCCATAATGCACTTGTCTCCCCCTATCCCTTCCTCGCTGACAACAATGGCAAACAATCTTTTTTGTGCCCTTTTATTCCCTGGTTATCCATGCAGATGCCATAGCAGGGTAAGCATGGAACCCATTGTGGAACCCATTTAGCAGCAAAGTATTATGGCAGTTATATTAACTATAGTGCACATTATGCCAGCTTATCCAGAGTGTATCCAGGGTCCACCAGAATGAGGATGCATCTCGGGAGGCCATGAACATACTCTCCTGCAAAGCACTTGAGTTGTGACCTGCAAATGCTACCAACATTTGATCCTCTAGACACAGTGGAATGCCAGTTCTGGTACCATCAGACAAACACAGACTGGTGGGCCCACATAGGAAGGTCTGTCTAAAGACAATACGGATGTTATGTACAAGGCCATAGTTATGCTTTTAAATGTCCACAGAGATCTTAGGGGAGCAGCTGGACTGAGTTTGGTGGCAGACAGGCTGAGGCTAAGACCATAAGAACGGCCATACTGGGTCAGACCAACGGTCCATCCAGCCCAGTATCCTGTCTGCTGACAGTGGCCAATATCAGATGCCCCAGAGGGAGGGAACACAACAGGTAATCCTCACATGATCCCATTCCTGTCACCCACCTCCAGAGAAACAGAGGCTAGGAACACCATTCCTACCCACCCTGGCTAATAGCCATTGGTGGACCTAACCTCCATGAATCTATCTGGCTCTTTTTTGAACACTGTTAAAGTCCTAGCCTTCATGACATCCTCTGGCAAAGAGTTCCACAGGTTGAGTGTGCACTGAGTGAAGAAAAAACTTCCTTTTGTTTGTTTTTAACATGCTGCCTATTAATTTCATTTGGTGACTCCTAGTTCTTATTTTGTGAGAATAAGTGAATAACTTTTTCCACACCAGTCATGATTGTATAGACCTCTCTCATATCCCCCTTTAGTCTTCTCTTTTCTAAGATGAAAAGTCCAAGTCTTTTTCATCTCTTTTCAGATTATGTAGTTCCTGTGTGTTCTGCACATGCGTGCGCGCACACACCATTTGCTCAGAAAGTGCAATATTCCCTTCCTGCAGGAGCATGGGAATGGGAAGGGTGAGGGGGGTCTGGGTATGACAGCTGGGCAGAGCTCAAGCCATGCTTCATTGGGGATGAGCAAAAGGAGGTTTACTGCAGAGGCATCAACTAATAGCTTCCCCTGCTTCATCCACATTGCCATGCAAGATATCAGTCTTCTCCAAATTACACTGAGTGAGAAGCAGATTCTGACTGAATGTGGCCAAAAACCTGGACCTTATGCTGCAATGCTTTGTGCTGCAATGATGCCAAACCACTTACTGCTTGCTTAGCATGGAAAGGTTATGCTTATAAGATGCACACAGGATCTTTCGGGAGAAGGGGGGGGAAAGAAGGCCATATGCTGCATTAGGAATACAATAGTAAAGCAGCTAGCACATGTTCACATAGAGACACACACGCATGCCAGTCAATGTTATAGTTACCAGTCCAGAGTCTGAATCACTCTGGTAGCCAGCCACATTGATCAGAGGTAGAGAGGAGCAGGGCTCTATCAGTCACAACACGATGCTCTGGGGGAAGTCTTGGCAGGATGAAATCCAAAAAGCATGGCAAAGCTGCCACTTCTTAATATTTTGCGCTGTCATGCTGTAATCAGTCCCCGTTTGACTGCTTGTTTTCGTAAGATCATATCACAGCTATCTTGTCTCAATTGGTAAGTTGCATTATCTTTTAGAGTCACCAACCATATCTCATTAGGGGTTTACAGCAATATCCTGGTGCCTTTATGTCTATCCTCAGCTTCTCCCTAGAAC